CGTCCCAGAATGGCGTTGTGAGCGCATTTGAGCCGCACCACCACAAACGTCATGGGGATCGTTGCCCTGTGTTCGCCGTCCCTAATTTCAACCGGTAGGATGATAGTTCCTTCTGCATCGATGATGTGACCGGTGAAACCCGCCAGGGGTGTCCGTAGGGGCTCAAATCGATCCTTCCCAGGTGCATTTTTTCGAACATGTCCCAGTAGAGGACATTGACGCTTCTCCCTGTATCAACCAGAACTCGTCGGATTATCCACTCCTGGATATCCATACTGACTACCAGCTCATCCCTGTGCGGCCCTAGTGTTTGCGGCAGATCCGTTGTCCCAAATGTGATGGGCTCGACCTTGTGTTTCTTAACGAGGGGTGCGGAGATAGAATTTATCCGGAGGGCTCTCTCAAATTTCTTCCTCTCCGCCGGGGTATCCCCGGTCTCCGCCCCTCCGAAAATCATTTTGATTTCCATCTTCTTCTTGGAGCCGACCGGTCCGAGAGACGCCTCTGGCCTCTTGTCGCCATGGCGGAAATCATCCTCCTTGACTCTGGCCTCCCACCGATCATCCCGGCGCCAGCTGTAGGGCCTCCTATGCTGTTGTGAGGGTCCCTGATATGCTCCCCCCGTGGTGAATTCACCCGGATACCCCCTATCAATGAGCTGCTGGATGGCGTACTTCAGACTTTTACAATCGTCAGTACAGTGTCCCTGCTTGCGGTGGTACTCACAATATGATCCCGCGCCCCGTCCCATCATGAGCCCCTTGGTGGGTACCGGCTCTTTGAACAGCCCCTGGTCCTTGATGGCCCCAAAGATTTGGCTGATTGGGTAGGCCAGGGGTGCCGGCCCTAGGCTCATAAAGGGGCCATCCCCCGTGCGTTCCTGTGCGGCCCGCGAGACATACCCGCCGACCGTCTTCTTCTTTTTGAGGGGTGGCGATTCCACCGGTCCGGGACCCAATCAGTCTGATGCCTTGCGCGTAGCGGGGGTTGAAGCTCCGTCCCGCTGTGAGACCTCTTCCTCTATCGCCGCGAATTTGTGCGTGTGGGCCAGCACCTCGGCGTAGTTGTTCCCGGGGTTCCTTTTCAAATCTAGATAGAGGTCCCCGGTTGCCAATGCATTGGTGAAGAGGGTGATGCCAGTGCTCTCCGGAAGATCCTCCACCTTCAAGGTCTCATCCCTCCGCCTGACCATGAAGGCAGATATGGATTCTCCCTTATTCTGGTGGACGTTCGTCAGCCAACTGAAGTGATTCTTCGGCGTGGAGCTGGACGCGAACTGAGCCATGAACTGCCGGTATAGTTGTTCAAAGTTGTCGATAGACCTGGGCCTGAGCTGCCCGAACCACTCCTGTGCTGACCCTCTAAGGGTGCTGAAGAAAAGTCTGCACACAGCCTCATCGGAGGCTCCCAACATGGAGAGCGTCCCTTGATAAGATAGTAGATGGGCTTTTGGGTCCCCGGCTCCGTCATAAGTTAATGTCCCAGGGGGCCGAATGTTCCGCGCGATGTCTACCGCCATGACCCGGTCGGTGAAGGGGGGTGAAAGTGCAATCCTGGGCTGGGCCTGAGCGTTCTCCGTCCGGCGATTCAGCTCATTTATTTGCCTCTGCATATCCAGGAGCATGGCATCCCATGGATCAGTCCCAACGGGCGCGGGGGTTGCTTCTGCCAAGGTGTCCCCTCTTGGTGCAACGCCATGATTGTGTTGGCCAAGGTACACTCGGGTCTCTGCCGCCATGCCACCCACTACGGAGGTATGTTCCCTAGCCGTTCCTCCATCGCGGGGCATGACCGACGTGGGGTCCTGAAACGTGTGGCGTTGTGCTCCTCTGAAGGGCCTAGCTCCCGTGGCGCCCCCATACCCGTAGGGCGGGTGTTCTGGGTTATTCTGGAATGGACCGAACGGCGGGGATTGCTATTCTCGCCAGTGTGTTCGGTGAAAGACTGCATGGGACGGACGGGTGAGAGCGAGGTGCGCTCGGTATTGGCAGTGTACACATGCTCTTCCTCCCGCTGGTCCGCCAATCGGCGGATAGTGTCCGCGATATCTCGCAGGGCGTTGGGGTCCCTGCGGAGTTCCTGTGGAATCAGGTCGGTGAGCATCCCGAAGTCCCCTCGGCTCCATAGGCTAGTGGATTGGGCCCCTGCCGCCTGGTTACGGCTCCTCCTGCTGTGGGCCAGTCGTGATGACAGGTCTTGAGAATTGCCCACGTTGTTAGTGTTCATTTTGTTTGCTTTTTGGTTGTCTTAGAAGTTTTAAATGGAGAGCTTGATTAAAAAGAGCTTCTTGATCGGTTTCCCACAGACGACGCCAGTGTTGAAGTTTATTCCCCTCAACCCACAGGCCCAACACGTAACCTGGGGGTTTCGAATGGGTAGAAGGCAAATGAACTCACTAAATCAACGGGGGTGGATTTAATAACTGCTTTCTTCACTATTATGATTACAAGCCGAAAGGCCGAACATACTGAAAATATACTACGTGATGCTGATGCTATTACAACTCTAGAGTAACGATGTGCGAACCCTTTACAATGAAATAAATGCGACTATTTATAGTACCCCCTGGTGGTTGGGGGGCTGACGTGGCCGGATGTGGGCGACATGATTCCAACTAGCAAATCTTCAGCATTAAATGCGCTTCCCGCCAAGATCTTGGTTTCCCGCCATAACGCGGGGGACGTCCGTCCCCTAACACTAGACTCGACTCTTCGGTGGCAACCCGGGCCCCTTAGTATAGTCCACAAGACGTTCGTCCCCTGGCCCTTAGGCCATGGAGATCTGTTTATGCTGGGCTACGTACGTCCCCTGATCCTTGGACCCTGAGGCCTGGCTATGGTGGGCCACGTACGTCCCTTGGTTCTTGGGCTTCAGGGGTTGATGGGCCGGTCCTGGGAGGCCATTAACCCAACATGTTGTCTCAAGTTTTTGTAGTAGTTCATCTGCCAAATATATAAAACCCTCAAGATTAGTTTAGTTTGCAGTGTTTCCAGATTCTATTCTTGTGGTAGTGGTGCCAAGGAACACATTTTTCATCTTTTAGCAACAAAAAAATGATTGACTTTTCAACCATTTGCTAAGTCCTAGCTTTTATTTACAGAACCCGCGCTTAAATGTTCCTCAATATCCCCTACAATTTCTGTATCATTCATTTCATACTTCTACAATCTATTTACTCGCTCCATGTTCCAATTTTTGAGCTAAAGTAATTAGTTAAGTCACTTAAACTCCACCTCAAGAACTACATGTTGATCAATTTGTACTATCTACTCAGCAACATGATGGAGAAAACTTAATATTAATCACCGTAATAGGATTAATGGTACATCTTGCTCTATTTAAAAAAGGAAGAGGGCAAAATTTGTACTTTATATACAAATGAAAGACAAAAAGTCAATCGAGTCAGGGAGAGAAAGAGGAGGGCAAGGAAAATATATAAACCTTCAACTTTACATGCAGTGTTATAATCAAGGTTACAAGCAAGCTCAGAGTTGTATGAAGGGTCGCATACAATATTGAAAATCCTTTTCAAGTTTTAGGCTTTTAGCTTCTTCCTCACTCACACACATACATTAAAACAACAAAGCTAAGCAATAGCAAACTAACAAATGGCAAAGTGAATAGCTAGCATCTGCAAAACAAATTCAGGGCCTAACATATTACTTTTCAAATGGATAAGCCTGCCACATGTAAAACGAGAGCTGATTAAACACTTAAGCTTTATCATTTATTTTCTACTTGTTGCATAATAATATGTGATTAAATCATATCCATGAAAAGTTAGTTAGTTTTTTTCAAAAACATCATAAATCAAATTCATTCTTAATACTCCAAATATAGACTATGGACACCTACATAAATCGATCCATCTTTATAGCATTGTAGTCCGGTGTAGGTAAATTTGTGTAATTAAAGAAAAAGAGAGTGAGTTCTTAAAAGTGAATGTTTGTATGATTTAACAATTTGTTCGTAACAAGTTATTTGGTTGTGCATTTAAACAGACCTGGTAGAGGACTTAACATGTAAGCTACATGAACCCTAAGTCATTGATGTTTGCATCTTACAATTTGTGATGGATTGCAGCGAAAGAAACCAATGAATCATTAACAAAATAGAGCTTATTCTGTGTTGCACTACAACTTGTGGCAGTAAGCTGTCATTTTACTTCATCCTTGGGACTTCCGGAGAATTTGAATCAAATATTTGAGATAATTAAATCACTAAAAGCATTCATTTAAATGATCAATCTAATAAGAGCGCTGAGCTTACATCGCCAATCCATAGGTTTTCCACAAATACTCAAGCAGTGAGCACATAACTACACCAGTAAATAAGCAGGCTCAAAATCTGAAAAAATGAAATAAATAAACTTACCAGTAAGCGAGACAGGAGGCGAGTAGCAGAAGGCAGAAGAGTGAAATAGCACGACACGGTTAATTAGCCGGATTGTCACCGCCGACCGATGTCAATTGAGTAGAGTCGCATTCACCTCTCGCACTCGGTGCCCAGTTCATGTGATCCGCGCTCGCAGCTTGCTCACCTATCTCAAGTCGCAGCCCGAATACAAAAATCTGCAATCGAAAATCGTCGTTTAATCGTTTAACTGCTCTCCTTGAAAAAATTGAAATAAAATGAGTTGTGAAGTCAAGTCATTGCTATCATTTTGCACAGAGAAATGCTAGATGATTCGTCGGTCGAGAAGTACAGGGGTCGAATGGACGTGGGTAGAAGTCTAAAAGTGAAATAAAAAAACATAATCGAAAACACAAAAGATTAAAATTGAAAAGAAAAAATAGTCTGGTCATAAATGATGTATGGGGTATAAAAATGGACCGTTTGGGTAATTACCACATATTTTCACCCGCATAGCATCCATTCCATGTGGCAGACTCCCGCATAGCCCATATTATTGCCGTATTCTCTTTTTTGCTGCTGAACCAACTTTGCCCACCAAAATTTCTTCAACTCCATTCCGTGTGGCAGACACCCACACCCGCATTCTTAGATTCTTAGAAGACTTCAACCCGAAATTTCAAGACTTCAACCGATTTAGAAGACGGTGCTGGTTTTCTTGTTAAGGTAATTGTACATAATCATGCGATTAAAATTCTTAATCCGGCAACAAAGAATATCGGAGTTTGTGTTCATGGCTATTAGTTATCGTTGAAGGAGATCTTAAGCAATCTCGGAATTTATATCTCAAAAAATTATTTTTCCATATCCAAAATCAGATTTGTGACATTTTCTTATATTTCCGCTTCATGCATCCTCAACCCCTTATACTCCGGCTGAAGGTGTGTATGTATTTTTGACATGTTCTCGTGCCAAACTGAGGTGTTAACCATGTTTTGTCAAATGATTTGCACAATTGGCGGCCAATAAAGCTTTATTGTAGTTATGAAATTACACTCCCAAACATTGCTACAACCAGGGGCGGACCCAGAAAAGTCATTTTGGGAGCGCGAAAATATTCTGGGGGTTCAAAATACTTTTTGGAAGAGCAAAAATTATTTTTCGTATATATATATATACACTAACAAAAATTTTGTTCGGGGGTAGCCCCCTGGGTCTCTATTACGGTCCGCCCCGGCTACAACTAATATATCTATATTTTTGGTCTATACATAAAATTACACACAAAGGTCCGGGAGGTAGCAATTACTTTGGACGTGCCGTGATATGATCTAGTTCTAGAGTGTGCAATCTGCATTGGTTACTGGAATGAGCAAAAGTCACTCTATTTAATCATCTTTAAATACTTTTCATCCCTTCCTTGGATTTATACTTTGGCCATTTAAGCTCTTTGTTTATTATGTATGATATGAATGATATATTTCTAATGATTTACTTTGTACATCTCGTAATTAGAAACTAGTTGATCTAAAATAAAAATACTCTGAATTTAATTATGTGGAACATCATATTTCTGCCCAAATGTTATATATTCCATATATAATACATAATGTCCGTGTGTGTTACAAATATCTTAATCAAATTGATGGGGAAATTTCAAATAGTTGTAAGAATATTTTGGAGAATATAAGAATATTTTAGTGTTCACTTTGAGTAAAAAACTTCAAGCATACTGTCCAAAAATGAAATAGGTGAAATGGTTGATTAAAATTCTCACTTGAAAGTTTAAAAATATCCATGTTATTTCGGAAGAAAATATCAATTTGGAATGGGTTGAAAATGAAAGTTAATGCAACAGTAGGATAGAGGGTAAGTCGTGTAGGATACAGAAATAGAGTGAGGGTTACTCCCTGATTGTTGCTTGAAACATCATGATTTGGCTATTCTTTGTTAATCCCTGTTTTTCTTCTTTTATGTGAGCGGACATATACTGAATTAAAAATGAATACAGAGTATTTTACTATGTTGCCTTGTATGCTGCCAAACCTCCCTTGGAATACACATGTCTCCTTGTATGTTGCCTAACCTTCTTTGGAAGTTATAATTATGGACCACACGAACATTCTAAACATACACATGAACATATATCCATTAAGTAAAGAGAATAGTAGTTGTCATGTGATTCTATACCCATTAATTCAAAAACATACAAATATTTGTAAGTTAAAACTCAAGGATTATCATATGTGTTGGATCATTTGTTCATATTTAAAGGTTGAATGTATTATTTTGCATGTGAATCATCTCTTACGTGTTATCACTAAAAGTGAAATCAGCAAACTCATGTATGTTGAAAGTGAAATTTGAATCGGTATGGATGATTAAGATGGTTACTATAGGAATATTTGCTTGAAGTGTGTGATGGAGAAAGGAATCTGTTGTTGTTGCTTCCAACTCAACTGGATTTGTAAGGTTTTACGTTGTTCTAATTAGACTTGCACAAAAATGCGCTCGGGGAAGGCTGTTTCTAAATTTTCTGTTCATTAGTGTGGACGGGCATGGTCTAACCCATGTCCATATCCGCCCATAAATGTGCTCGGGGAAGGTCTAAGGTTTCTTTGATTTATAGGTATGTCTTTTTTCTTGTGTGGTGTTTTACATTTTTATTTCCATATTCTAACATTAATTTATATATGTTCAGTTTGAAACTTTAACATCATATTTACATATCTTGTGAATGATGTCATTAAAGTACAAGTTGCATGCTGCACGGGTGAAAATTCTAGCAAGAGTAAAAATTGCTTACTTTGCAGAAAAGTATAGCACGCTAGTTTTAGTCCGGAGAGGGTGGCTGCAATCCTTCTCAAGACTAGTGAATTACTCCAAAACTATTGATTATGATATCAATGTTGAATAGTGAAGTATTCCAAATTATTCTACGTAGTAGCTTCTAAAGTCTTTATGGATCACTATTCGATTAAGTTGAGTAACTCTACATCTATCATAGTTCTATTATTTTGAGTTTAACTAAAATAGAGATTTTGTATCAATGTGAACTTCTTCTATCCTATTTACGTTCTCAGCTTTACTTTTAGTCTTATGTAGGTCTATTTCCTATAGCCTAATACTAATACTAATACTAATACTTATGAAACGGACCTAAATGCCATTTTTATAAAGAAGGCCAAGTCAGTGAGATTCTTTAACAAGTTCTTGCTAAATCCAGGTTCGAAGGAAGCACTACACAAGTTCAACATGAGGCATATATAAAGATGGAATTCTTTCAAAATCATGGTTGATGCAGTTGGATGCACAACGACTAATTAACTTTGTATTGCTTTGCATCATTGCAATCTGACTATTAACTTAATACATAATGGGGAATATCCAAGCATCACTTATCCGTCAGCCTCCGCCTCTGCCTTCTCAACACTCTTGCTCATTGATTGCTGCCATTGAAGAAGATGAAGAAGCTCTAGAGGTATTACATTATACAATTATCGGGGTGTTTGGATTTGATTCTTAAAACTGCTTCTTCTCTCTCAGGGAGCAGAAGCAAAAGTTGGAGTGTTTGGGCAAAAGTGTATTAAGTAGTTCTGATGATCTAATTTAGGGAGTGTTTGCGATTGCTTTTGCTTTTTTAAAAGTGACTTTTTTAAGAGATTATTGGAAAAGTGATTTATAGTAAAAGTATGTAATTTTTGGGAATATAAGTGATTTTTATTAAAATGTAAAAGTTGGAGTGTTTGATAAAAAATGATTTGAGATATAATATTTTGATAAATTACAAATGCACCCTTGTAAGATTTGTTGCAAGATACGCTAAAATATGCAGCGCAGCCTGGAGAATGTTGCAAGATTTGTTGAGAGCATCACCGTGTCCGTCAGTTTTCCTCCATTGAAGCCTCCATTGAATCTTTCCTATGCGCAGATCTGTTGAAAATAAATTGAGGAATTTTTCCTGCTAGTACCTTGTTGAGGGTGCCGGAAGTCAGAACCCGATTGTCTCCGGCCGTCCTTTGCTCATACAGAGCACACATACAATATACAGAGTAGAATTTTAAAAATATTAAACTTCGAAAATTATGAATTCCCCTTGGTGCCACTGGTTGGCGGCCGTCCTTTGCTCGTAGCTTCACCACCGGAAAAAGGTTTTGCGTAGAAGGGAGGGGGTCTTGCGTAGAAGGGAGGGGACAACAGGTTTTGTGGGGCAGAGGGTAGTTTTGGTCTAATCAATATTTTCAAAATTTGAATAACCCTAAAAGCTGGACTTATTTACATAAATACCTATAAGCAGTTAGAAGTTTGTAATTGCAAACACTTTTTACAGCTTATTTTAAGTTAAAAGCTAAGAAGTGCTTTTTTTAAGCCAATGCAAACCTAGAAGCAGTTTTAACTAATTTTGATTCTGCTGCTTAAAAAAGAAGCAGAAGCAGAATCGGTTCCAAACACCCTCTATATAGTACAAACACCCCTTATATAGTACAAATGGTGTTTATACTTTGCCAACTTTCCTTTTTTATTGTCTAAAAACTTTCACCACTTTCGCTTTAGTAATTAATTAGCGATTCTTATAATTTCTTTCTTCTTCACATAATCTTCAATCATACGTTTTTATTTATTATTCTAGGTGCCTTTCGAACTTGATTATAAGAAACAAAGGTATTATATGCCTTTGCTTATGCTCATCTCGCCATTAGGCTTAGAGTTATTCTTTGTCTACATGCCAATTTATACGCACTTTGTACACACCCATATAATTTTGTTCGTGTCACAAACTCTTGTGATACCGACAAAATATAGGAGACATGTATAAAATGAGCGTGGACAGACATAATCACGTACATTTCCAATGCCCTCTGATGCTAAAACATAACACCAAAAAGATCATTTTAGCCTTGTGAATCCTTGAAAACAAGTAATTAAAATCCAGAAAATAAATGATTAACTTTTCGATGAAGAAGACACTATAACTTGGAACCGAGAACAAGCGCTATTCCATGTTTATTGTATGATTCACAGTCGAAAGAAGATAAGAAATAAAATTAAATACTTTCTCTACCCCTATCTTTGTCTCATTTTACCTTTTCCGTTTGTACCACTAATTTTGTCCTATAGTACGCCTAGGGCCAGGAATCGTAAAACCGGAAAAACCGGTCATAACCAAACCAAATTCACCAGTTCAGTTTGGTTCCTAAGAATAGGGACTTCAGCGATTTCAATTTGGTCCTCAAATCTTATAAACGTTCGGTTCTGGTTCTATACCAGGAACCATAGTTCATATACATACATAAAATGCTAAAATGGTGGGCTAGCCCACAAATATAATATACATACACTTATCACTAACCATTAATAATAATAATAATAATACAACAACAACAACATCCAAGCCTTAATCCCAAAAGAATTTGGGGTCGGCTAACATGAATCGATCTATGATATCGATGCCAAAAAGAGAAGGCGGACATGAACCGATCTATGATAATTGGGATCTATAATAATATTATTATTATATTAATAATAATAATAAGCTCCCTTTTAACCTAATAGAAATAATATTATCACCCCTTTCTACTTCTGCCTTTGTTAGAAATAATATTATCACCCCTTTCTTCTCTAACCATTCACCATTTTTATTTTGAAGCCTTCGATGTTGAGAACTTTTGGCCTCTACTCATCGTTCTTCGTACAGGATGTTGAGATTTTCTCCAAGTCATACTTTGGTTTGTAGTTGTAAATTTCATCGATTAATTGGGGATAGTTTGTGTAATTGGGATCATATGACTTTTAATTGATGAACAAATCTCTCTCAACTATTAGCCAAGGGAAAAAAATTTGTAGCTAAAGTTTAGGGCCTTCACACTCTTCGCTTCTCAATAGTTAGCAATAAGAATGTTAATAAAGACAAAGTACACATATGGACATCATTGGCCAATGTGTTGACTCCCCCCTTATGATTCACAAGCCCCGGATGAGGATTGAGGAGTGCTAATTCACCGGAATGTAGAACTAATAGAGTTATAGAGTACATGGTACATGCCAACCTTTTGACACAAAAGTCTCAAGGAGGAAAAGGATGAACTTACAAATTTTATACTTCTCTATTAAGTATGAACTACAAATATTAATAGTAATAGTGGTAGTCATAATAAATAATAATATTAACAACAACAATAAAGATGATTATAATATTAACCATAAAAATAATAATAATCATGTAATAATAATAATAATAATAATAATAAACTATTTCTATTCAGATTTGATCTCAATGTTTCCGATCTAAATGTTTTAAATTTGATTTAATTTGAATCTTTATGATGTGATATATTATGATTTGAATGTTTCTGATCTAATCTGAAACTTTTTGACTTGATTTAATCTAAATAGGGAAAACTGTCAAATAGGTCCACATACTTTTAACAAAAAGTCAATTGAGTCCATGTACTTTTTTCCAAGTCAATTTAGTCCACCAACTATCAAAAAATGACCAAATCAACTTTTTAGTAGGTAATCAACCGGTTACCAGGTTAAACGCTTACGTGGACGTCCGATCTGGCATTTTTTACTGATTTCCAATTTTTTTATTTTTGGGAAAACTGTCAAATAGGTCCACGTACTTTTAACAAAAAGTCAATGGAGTCCTAGTACTTTTTTCCAAGTCAATTAAGTCCACCAACTATATGAGATTGGAAAATTTCAAACTAAATGGCCATGTCTTTTACCCATCTACGAGGTTGACGTGCTCTCTCTCTCTCTCTCTCTCTCTATATGTATATATATATATATATATATATATATATATATATAAGTTGATTCATCCAAATGTTTCGATATATATATATATATATATATTGAAACATTTGGATGGATCAACTTTTTAAAGATAACACGTTATTAATTATGGTAATTCAATGTAAAATCACTTATGTAATAAATACTAGGAAGTAATTAAGTATAATGATTTAATCTGCTAATTGTCCGTCTTGTATGTGCGGTCTTTATATTTTTACAAATTAGACATTATACATACTAGACGAAGTATCCGTGCGATGCATGAGATATCTAGAATAGAATAAAAATTTATTCGAAATTATATTTTATTATGATGATGCGTGATGTGTATTTTTATCAAATATAAAAAGATAATGGAGTTTATATGTTGTAGCTTTGGTCATCACGGAATGGAGTATATACTAGTGGCTATATGAAAATAAATTTTGGCTCATATGAATATTTTGGCGCAAAGACCAACATATTAGATAGTTTACAAAGAAATACAAAATAAATATGTATTTATATTGCTAAGGTGGATATAATTCATTCATATATTAAAAACAAAATGAAAATAAGATATTGTATCTGCATCACTCAAAAAAATGAAGAACGTTAATTTATTCATGCAATTGTTGTGGTTTCAATTTTTTGGCAAAATTGTTGTCATTTCAATTAAGTTCTAACGATTGATTTTAAAAAACAATGTGTAATTTCAAAGATATTTAAATTAGGGTTGTAATCTAATTTCACTGTAAAATAGAATTATTCGAATTTGTATGAAAATAATAAATCCATTGGTATGTGTTTTGAAATTATAGTTAATTAATAATGGTGTAGTTTAGGATGTTTTAAAACTGACTAAAATTTGGTCGTTTTTTGATAGTTGGTGAACTTAATTGACTCGGAAAAAAGTACATGGACTCTATTGACTTTTTGTTAAAAGTACATGGACCTATTTGACAGTTTTCCCAAAAATAAAAAAATTGGAAATCAACAAAAAATGCCAGCTCGGACGTCCACGTAGGCGTTTAATCGGGTAACCGGTTGATTACCTATTAAAATGCTAATTTGGTTGTTTTTTGATAGTTGGTGGACTTAATTGTCTGGGAAAAAATACATGGACTCAATTACCTTTTTGTTAAAAGTACGTGGATCTATTTGACAGTTTTCCCATCTAAATAATATAAGAATAAGCAATAAGCAATCCATCACACACTCTTTTCAACATCTTCAATATGCTTAGCAAATATTTTCACATCCTTTTTGTAAACATTGAAAATTAAAGAGAGAATTTGATTTTGCACCCCATTTTTTGAGTGATATTTGACTTTGCACCCTTGTTCCAAAATCAATAATATATGCACCCAAATCACTATAAAATCATTTGACTCTGCACCCACTCCTACACAATTTTTGGGTTGATGGGGTGCATACATTAATGATTTTAAAAATGAGTGCAAAGTCAAATATCAATAAAAACATGTGGTGCAAAGTCAAATCTTCCTAAAATTAAAATGTGAAAAACTGAAATTATATTGTTAGATGCTTGGAGAGCGACACCCCATGCTCAAATTTAGCATACCACTTCAGTTGAGTATACCTAAAGTTAATCATTTGACCCTACCATGGGCCCACCTCTCTTCTTCATGTCTACATGATAGGAAAATCCATAGTTATCACTCCTCTCTTTGAATAAAAGAACCATTTGCTCGCACACATTGACAAGAGTATAGCTTGGTATGTTGGAATTCAGGACATGTTAAAAACCACTTTTTTACTCAAACGTGTACCCCAACCAATGCCCCTTTTAGGGGTAATTTTGATGGAAGTATGATGTGGTGAATTATGTATGTGTGTTTTGGACTTTGGGTGGGTTCTATTTGCAATGAAAAGGACATGCAGGAGAAAACCTTAATGCTAAGCAATACCAGGTATAGACATAGTGTACCAATCATTAATTTGTTACCCTAAACCATATCTAATCATCTTAACAATAAAAAACAATCCCTCCAAATCAATCTGTGATGCTTGGAAGGAAAAAAATTAAGAAGTGCTATAAATTATAAATATGTTTGCACCCTATTTTATTGTTAAAATTAGACTTTGCATCCCGTTTTTAAAAATCACTTTATTTGCACCCAACTCCACATGAAAAGACAAAAATGGCCCTCAATCATGAATATGTTAAAGGTCAACAAAATTGTTACTGGAGAAATTTTTATCTTTTCATACGGGGTTAGGGTGCAAAAACAAAAATTTTTAAAAAGGGATGCAATGTTCAATTTGGACAATAAAATGAGGTGCAAACTCAAATTACCCCAAATTATAATGTGTTGTGATATATCTTTTGATCGAAGAATAGATCCCGTTGCTTTTCATTTTGAATTTCTTTTAATACACAGATTGGAAGGGGAACTTATTATTTGACGAGGTGTAGAAGGAGATTGTCAAAAAGTTTAATGTCTCTTCACAATGATATGCTATTTGAAGTTCTGTCACGTGTCCCAGCTCAAGATATTTATGATGCGGCGATGTATGTTTGTCGGAAGTGGTATCGTATAATTCATACCCATAAGTTCATAGATGCACACCTTCGACATTCACCTCGTGGTCTTCTGCTTCGTTCTCCATGTACACCTGCATTTCTTATGGTGGCTAGACAAGGCCAATTGGAGACAATTTGTTTAACTAAATTCAAACGTTGTAGTTCAGCTGGCTGTAATGGTCTGCTTTTGGACTTTGAATACAACAATAGAATATGGACTCCTTATATAGTAAACCCTGTAACAAAGCAAGTTTTTGTGCTCCCTGGAATTGAAGAAGTAATCTGTTCTGAATTTTTCGGTATATCTTATGCTGCAACTTCCATGGTGTATAAAGTGGTCGCAATTGTTCATGGTCCTCGGCTAAAAATATTAACAGTGGGAGTGGATGATTCTTGGAGGAGCGTTTGTACCAAACACTTGCGTCGTCTTGCTAGGAGTGGACTTTGCGAAGTTTCCCCCCGCACAACGGAAGGTTTTATGCATTGGCTGACAAGTGTATCTTCAGTTGTGACTCTAAATGTAGAGACCGAAATGGTTGAGGAGAGCAGTGGCCCGACGCCTCAAGGTTGTGTAGTTCTTGGGAGTGCGTGGGTGTCGACGGGAAGCAAGTTGTCTTACTTGATAAAGTTTGAGAGGTTGGGATGGCATGTTTGGGAGATGGAACCAGAAATCAAAGAGTGGAGAAAGCTGCCAGATATTGTTATTAGCTTGACAGATCAAAAGAGGAAATTCCAATGGTTGGGTTTGAGAAAGGGGCAAGAGCTCCTGCCAATTGGTTGGATAAAATACAAAGAGCTGTTAGCCTTGATTCTGAGTGGCGTACCTGTGTCATTCGTTTTTGTGTACAATATTGTCACACACAAAGTTGTTGGAGTGGATCTGCCTGACACCATTGCATTGCACTCGCCTATACCCCATCAGAATAGTTTGGTATGGTTGCCTGGATCCTCTTAATACTCTTCTACTACTATACGTAGAGAGAATGTTGTTCAACCCCCACACAACCCTCTTTTCATTAGGTATATGCATGGGGGAGGGCTCAAGAAGATTTTGTACTATTCTGCCATGTTTTAACAAAAAAACATTGTTTCCTGATTAAATCTTTCTCCCGTTGCATCCTTCTACCGTTTCATCTTGTTCCATTGGATGTTGGGATGTTTCTTATAAGCAACGTCCTTGGGATATTTTGACCGTTAATGTGATGTTCAAAGTAATTATTTTAGGCTTATGCAAAGTATTGTCTCAAAATGATAGTTGTAGATAAATTTTCACCGATAAACATGGTTTACTTGCACATTTTTGCTATTGTTAGTACTTTTAATGTTTGCTTCTAAATGTACAACTGTAATTTTTAGTTACTAGTATCTTTACCCGTGCCGTGCATGGATAAAATGATTTTGTTGTTTAGTTTTACTAACGGAAAATCACTTATCTAGTCTATTATAACATTGTTTAAAATAATATTCTAATTTATTGATTATGTCTTAGTTTTGAACTAATTATCTAAACATGTTTTCAATCAATATTTTCCCATAAAAAGAACATATTTTTTAATAACTCTTGATTGCATCCAACTCCACTCTATCATACGCCTTGCTTATATCCAGTTTTAGAGCAACAAAACTTTCTTTTCCGCTATTTTTCCTTTTCAAGTAATTTTGGGTTTCAAAGCCCACTATAATATTATCAATAATAGACCGATCAGGGATAAAAGCACTCTGACTCTCTCCCACCAAAGAACTCAGGATCCCCTTCAGTCTATTACTCTATTAGCCAAGACTTTTGAGAAAATTTTATAAACCACATTGCATAACGCGATCGGTCTCCAATCGTCCATACAGTCTGGTTTATCTTTCTTGGGTATAAGAACTATATTAGTGACATTAATATTGGCGGCTAGGGTACCTGATTCAAACATTGCAGCACACAACGCTGAAATCTTTGGACCTACAACATCCCAGTACGCTTGGAAAAAAGTTGGATTCATGTCGTCCGATCCCGACGTCTTCTCTGGGTGCATGTCAAAAACCGCTCCTTTAATCTCCTCCGGACAAATTGGCTTCAACAAAGAGTTATTCTGGTCCTCGGTCACTTGTGTGAAAAATCACCACAAACTTCCACTACTTGATTCATTTCCGGAGCTTGAAAAATAGATAAAAAATAATTGGTAATAATAGAGCTCATCTCGCCTCTATCCATGACCCAAGCTCTATCAGCCATTCGTATGCTTGACATTCTGTTTTTCCTCCTGCGTTGTTTGACTGCGTTGTGGAAGAATCGAGAATTGACATCTCCTTCCTTGAGCCAGAACTCTTTAGCCCTCTATTTCCAGAATAAATTCTCCTTTTCCAGCAGAATTTGTAGTACTGTTCGGACTCTCAAAAATTCAAACACACTTCCCTGTCCTCCTTTCCCCGCAACCAAGCTAATCTCTTTTTGCAAATCATGATTTGATGCCTGAAACCCCGTTTCCTGCCTTTATCCCATCGTAAGAGTTCATTTCCGCAAAAGGCAATTTGTTTGTTGATGTTCATATGAGCAGCCGCCCCCCAGCTGTTTGTGACTATCAGTCGACACTCGTCTTCTTTGACCCCATTATTTTCAAATTTAAATCTCGTCTTTCTGTTCCCTTGGCTAGAGATTTTAACCTTCACAAGGAGGGCCATATGATCGCTATCCGGGGCTTCCATTGATTCTGCTTGAGCATCCAGAAAGGTGTCCCACCAATCGTCATTCACCAAGATCTGATCAAGTTTTTCATCCACCTAGTGTGGCGTGCCCCTGCCCCTATCCCACGTCCACTGGTAGCCTGAGAAAGGAAGATCCCTTAACCCGCAACTATGAACGGCCTTCCGGAAGCCCAACAACCTCCATGGGGTGAGGTATATGCCCCCTCTTCTCCGATTCGAAGAGGATATCATTAAAATCTCCAATCATCATCCATGGGTAGCTGCTACTCGACGCCAGTCCCTCCATCATGGCCGACGCCTCCCGTCGTCGTCTGGTTTCCGGAAATCCATAGTAACCGGTCAACCGCCATGTACCGCCGTGCATCTTCAAACTGACTTTACAGTCAATATAGTTCTTCTCACTAATTAAGACATCGACATCAACATCAACATCATCCTTCCAGCCCAAAATTAAACCTCCGCTCGTGCCTTCACTGTCAATTCCGAACGCCACAGTAAACCCCTGGCTTCGGATCAAATCCTTCGCTCTTAGGCATCGTACCTTGATCTCCATCAGGAATACGACCGAAGGCAGGGCCGGTTCTGGGGGGGGGGGGGGGCAAGAGGGGCGACCGCCCTAGGCCCGAAAAAATAGCAGAAAAATAGGGCCAAATTGTTTTCTTTATATATAGTTTGAGTAGGCTTCTTTTATTTATTCTTAAGTTCAATTAATTAGACTAATGTTTAATTTTGTTGATAATTTGAAAATTTAAAATATAAATAAAAAGTCTTAAACAGAGCCAACCTAAAAAAAATATATACATTAATTTTAAGTAGGATCGGTTGTAGTTTTTAAAATCAATACAATTGTTGATGGATCAATAAAAGACATGTCTCTTCAGTCTTCACATCTCTTTAGCCTTTTGTGGCTTTTTATTCATTTTAATTATAACATAAAACCTTTATATAATTATAATTAGGGGTGGACATTTCGGATTTCGGTTCGATTTTCTTCGGTTTCGGTTTAATCGGGTTGATAGAAAATGTACCAAATACAAACCGATTAAGTTTCGGGTTGGTTTCGGTTTCGTATGGTTCGGTTCGGTTTGAAAAAGGGGCAAGAGCTCTGGCCAATTGGTTGGATAAAATACAAAGAGTTGTTAGCCTTGATTTTGAGTGGCGTGCCTGTGGCATTTGTTTTTGTGTACAATATTGTCACACACAAAGTTGTTGGAGTGGATCTGCCTGACACTGTTGCATTGCACTCGCCTATACCCCATCAGAATAGTTTGGTATGGTTGCCTGGATCCTCCTAATACTCTTCTACTATGTATTGGAGGGGTGAAGTTATTTACTTTTAATTTCTAAGATACAGTTTATATTCATTTATTGTGACATGTTTTAACAAACAGCTTATTTCATGATTTTCAGGCCCGGGACAGTATTAATAGATTAGGCCTTAGACAATGTGTGAATGTTTATCTTTTTTATATAGAAACTATAATTAAAATTAAGCAGTCTTGTCATCTAAATATGAATATAACACATCAAAGAAATTAATAAATGTGACGGTTAGAAATGTTATATATAAGTATTTGATAACTGACATTCAATTATATGTACCTCAACCGGCCGAATAGAAAAGTAGTACAATTGTTACTTGTAATAAAGAATTTTGAAGTAGGAAAGACATGAAAGTTATATTGTATATGAAGTAACGTTTTCTTTTCCTAATCATGTTTTCACTTACATGAGAGTAAAAGATAATTAGCCAAATACTATCAATGAATCGTGAGTTCACATGAGAAAAGTACATGAAAAGATTAACATTTATGCACTAATTCTTGATGAATCCAAAGAAATGGTAAAATCTATTCCCAACGAATTCGGGTAGGGGTGGACTGGGTCGGGTCTACCCGGTCCGGGAACTGGACCGGCCCGCCACTGTGCGGGACCGGCTTGACCCGACCCGGTTTCCCGGAACTGGGCCCGAGCCTAGGGCCCGAACCGGGGGGGGGGGGGGGGGGGGTTGGGCCGGGTCACAGGTATGGGGTTCTTTGGTACCGGCCCGGCCCAGCCCGGCCGCGCCCGATCCGGACCATTTTTTTTTGTTTTTCAAAGTCTTAATGAGGTAAATGGGTTGGGCTTGGTGTTTTAGTGGGGTTGGGGTGGGGGTAGGAAGTAATTAGAAAAGCAAAAAAATATAAAGTACTCGGTCCGGGCGCGACCTAGGCCCGGTAGAATCCCGGGCCGGCTCTGGGCCTTAACCCACAATAAAAATGCCCGGTTTGAACCGGCTTGGAACTGGTCCATGCCTAAATTCGAGTGTGGATGTTTCAAAATTTTAAATTTCTAGCTTGTAGATGTTGAATGGTGAATTAAAAGTATCGGAAAAAATTATAAATTTGATTTTACTTTTAGAAATTTGTAGATATATAATGTATATATAATTAAAGTAAATGTGTTATGCTGGGTGTTATGTTGCTCGCTTGACTTCGAGTTGCAGATTTTTAAGTCACTAGTTTGGAATTCAGTAATCTCTTTGAGGCGAATCTGCAGAATACACTAACGATCAATGTCAAGGAGTTTGTTAAGCAACATGAGCTAAGAGACTAAAGGAGAGAGATTGTGTATAGAGGCTAAAGGGGCAAAGAAGAAGGCTAATAAGGCTAAGAAAGAAGCTAGCTTAGCAAAGACAATGAGAAAAATAAAATGACCACTCAGCAAGTGAACTAAAAAATGAAGTCATAAATATGAAGGGGTTATGGAGAAATTTGTAAACCTTATGGGATGTGATTTTTATAAGTTAATTAAAAAAAATTAAAGTAAATGTGTATATATATAACTGGAAAATTTATGGGCCCTATGGAAGCAATGGGTCGTGGGCGCATGCCCCCTCGCCCATGCTCCAGGACCGGCCCGAATGATTTTCATCCCTTGAAAATCTTTATCTCCCTAACGGTCTAACCCTTCATTCTTCATCTTGCTCTGTTGAATATAATGTTTCTTATAAGCAGCCTTTCAACCAAATAAGTGTTACTGTGATGCCAAAGCAGGCGATGGTGATGGTTATTCAGTTAGGCTTGATCGTTTGCAAATCGCAACCGATGGGTGGATCCAGTAATCTGGGTTGGATTGGAATGGAGTAACTATATTAAGTTTAAACATTAGTTATTGTACTGATAAGTCCGTGTTTTGACACGCATTTGATGTGTGTTGGGATCGGCTTTGATGGTTTTCCTAGCTTTAAGGTGTTATAAGTCTCAATTTTAGCTCAAGTTACGTTTACCGGACGTTGGTTCGAGTTTTGTGTTGTTTGGACTCAAAATCAGGAATTTAGAGTCCGGCACCGGCGCTTAAGGAGCAAACGTGATGATTCGAGAAGCATTCTAAAGTGAATTGAGAGCTTTGGAGGTCATCGGGAGGTTCACAATGAAGATTTGATGACAAAAGATCTCTAGGATTGACTACAAGATTAAATGAAGACGAATAGAGCTTGAAAACGAAGTTCAGGATGACCTTCTGTCAATCGTTCAAGCATATCTCTTTGTATAAACATCTAAAGGACACGATTCATGTTTGTCGAGTCGAGTCGAGTCGAGTCCATGTTTGTCGAGTCAAGTCGAGTCGAGTCCATGTTTGTAGAGTCGAGTCGAGTCCATGTTTCAGGTCCACGTCTGTCAGAGTCGAGTTAGGTCCATTCATGTGGGAAATGGAAATGTAAGGACCATGGCAACGTAAGTTCATATCATTGCAAAGACCATCTTATGCAACACGATCGGCCCCTCAGCGCCATCGTGTCTAGTTTGTATTCGGTGATGGCAATGTAAGGACCATGGCAATGACCATGACAACGTAAGGACCATCTTATGCAGCACGATCGGCCCCTCAGCGCCATCATGTCTAGTTCGTATTCGGCGATGGCAATGTAAGGACCATGGAAATGACCATGGCAACGTAAGGACCTGTAACACCCCGAGGCCACACACGGACCCAAGGTAGTTACTCTAGACCTCTAGTACTGTCCCCACAAACCACCACGAGCCTTTACCGCACACTTTGTCCTCACTCATGCACGCCCTGAGAAACTTCCCAGGGGGTCACCCATCCCAAGACTACTCCCGTGCAAGCACGCTTAACTTTGGAGTTCTTGGGTGATGAGCTCCCTTAAAAGGAGATGCACCTCTGTTAGTATGAGTAGTACTATTAATCCTCTTAAATTAATCTCGGGTATTACAGGACCATCTTATGCAGCACGATCGGCCCCTCAGCGCCATCGTGTCTAGTCTCGCGGTCGGGCTCGTCGATCATTAATCTGGGATGGCGACCGCCGCTTTTATGCAGCACGAACGGGCTCCATAGCACCATCGTGCCTGGCTCTCGGTCGAGATCGTCCACCCTTGATCTGAGATGGCGACCGCCGCTTTTATGCAGCATGAACGGGCTCCACAGCACCGTCGTGCCTGGCTCTCGGTCGGGCTCGTCCACCCTTGATCTGGGTTGGCGACCGCCGCTTTTATGCAGCATGAACGGCTGGCTCTTAAGCGTTGTCGTGCCTTCTGTTTGATCGGGATCGTCCACCCTTTATCTGGGATGGCGACCGCCACTTTATGCAGCACGAGCGGCCGGCTCTTCAGCGCCGTCGTGCCTTCTTCTCGGTCGAGTCCGCCCATGCCATTCAGGGTCGGGACTGTAGCTTTATGCAGCACGAACGGCTGGCTCTTCAGCGCCGTCGTGCCTAGTGTGGGGATTGCATCTCACTACCACTTCTGCATGCCTTGCGTCCAAGACTATTCGAAGACGCCGATTCAGGGAAGGCAAGGAGGGATGTGAGCAAGAGTATACTTTCTCAAGTAGATTCACAGGCTCACTATTCAAGAAACTGGGAAACTTGTGTTGGGGAATATCATCCCGCCCTGTTACTGTTCAGAGACCCAAGGCTCCACCCGGTATGGACCCCAGTTGGCAAGGCCCATTTAGACCCCTCGGGCCCATTTAGAACCATTTAGGCCCACTCGGCCTACTTGGGGTGGTTTCGGCCCGTTAGGCCCATTAGGCTAGAAAGCCATCCCACCTCCCTTCTATAAATAGGAAGGCATGACTTCCATATGACGGATCTTTTTTTTGGCTCTTCTCTTTTTTCCTTTAGAAATAGTTTCAACCCCCATTAATGGAATTCCAAGTGATTTGTATTATGTAATTGGTGAGAAGAGCATATTAATGAGAAAGAGCGGGCTCAGACGTTAGTCTAAAAAGTCACGTGGTTTTCTCCCTTTCCGGGTTTCCATGCAAAAATAGCTAGTTCATACACTTTATATTTATTATTTACTGTAATACCGAATTCATCGTGCTTAATATCCAAAATTTATGTTGGACTTTCGGATCTGCGAGACTAAACCTCAACATTCCCTGAATAGGAGTAATCTTCCAAGTTTGGAAAAAAATGCCATGTTTTAAAGCCTAGTAATGCCAAACTTGGCAGAAATTTACTCCTATTAAAGGAATAAAAAACATGATAGTCCTATTTTAGAATTTCAAAACTTTTTTACTCCTATTTAGGGAATTCTCCCAAGTAAAAATTGTGTGGTTGAGGTTTGTGCAGATGAGAAAGAAATAACAGAAACCACAAAATAATAATTAAAAAGGAAAGTGTCAAAGTTTTTTGAAACATCCAAAAAAAGAAAGATGAAAAAGTTTTAAGGGACGAGGAGGGAGTATTTGAAATTGAAGTAACCGGCTGGAACACCCGGCTTGTTTATGACTTTGTATTGGAATTTGGAAACCATGAAGACCCTCCCAATTCCCATTAGTTGGAATTTGGATCTTGAAGGGTGAAAATGACAATTTATGAAACTGAGAGAAAAGGAAAAAAGTTGTACTATTAAGAGGCCGTTTGACAACCCTCATTTTCGGCTTATCAGGCTTATCAACCAACGTTTATACCAAACACGTAAATTTTGCTTTCGCGCACTGAATTGTGTAATAAGCCGAAAAAGTAAGGTTGTAGTTACTTTTCTGGCTGTATTGGCTGATGTTACTGTAGATGACCATTTTAGCTATTTTTACATATAATTTTTTCTTTATTTTATTAATAAAATATATTTTAAAAATATTTTTTCCTTGTATCAGCAGAATCAGCCAATGCAGCCACTTCAGCCAGAACTTCATAAATTTCAGCAGAATCAGTCAAAACAGCCGATTTTCGTGCCGCCAAACGGCTCTAAGACTTAAGAGCAGTTAATAACATCGGAAAGGCTCCAGTAAATATACCAAAAGGACATGTCCGCCGAGTCGATTCATATAGCCACCGGAGACATATAAATCCGGCGGCAGAGTTCATCATCTTCTTCATTGGCAAGGAAAATGATTTCCTTCAACCCAGTTGTAGCGCGTCCACATTCCTTCAGCGCAAAGCCAATTTGTTCTGCCTTCCACACCACCGGCGCGACAGCCGCAACCACGCGCCGCCGTTTCTCCCCAACTTCTGCCAACGTCTCTGCTAAGCAAATAGTCGAGCACGTGGTGCTCGTCAGAGTCAAAACGGAAGTCGAGCATTCTAAGATAAACGACATGGTCAACAACCTCTACAACCTCTCTTCCCTTCCGCAGGTTCTCCATCTCACCACCGGTCCGGTCCTCCGTACCCAATCTCCGACGCTATCGTTCACACATCTCTTACACTCTCGGTACGAATCGACATCGGATCTCGAAGAATACAACACACACCCTCTTCACCTGTCTGCGGTCAAGAATTTCCTCTTCCCTGTTATAGATGACATCATGGTGGCCGATTGGATCGCCGATGACTTTGCCGGTTCCGTTGAGGTCGGCCCTGGTTCCATCATCAGGGTGAAATTGTTGAAGTTGAAAGAAGGGTTGTCGGAAAATGAGAGAACAGAAATTGTAGATGTAACTAAAAGGCTCAAGCAAAAAATCTCGATGATTGATCAGTTAACAGTTGGGGAAAATATTGTTCAGGCTAGGACGAAGGGGTTTTCTATCGCCTCAATCGGGGTATTTGGAGGATTGGGTGCTGTTCATGCGTTGGATGCCCAATCGGCGGCGCTTAATGATCAGAAAGACGGCGTGAGGGGATTTGTTGACGACATTGTGGTGGTGGATTATGCCGTTCCTGCAAACACGCTAATTAAATAACTAGCTTCGTTTGTTTTTTAGCGGATGGGTAGCAAACCGCTGCATTTTGCAGCGTTTTGATGTTTTAATTGATTAGCGGTTTGCTCAATCGGGACGGTTATCCAAACGGCACCATTGTCATATGAGTATGGATCATTAGGAATCAATTAACCTTTCAATAACTTTATTTTCATAGTTCAAAAGATCCTAAATTTCTGCTTCTAATAGTAAGCCTTTACCTTTGCAACATTGTTTCAACTTGTATGTACATCTATGTCATTTGAGAAGTTTGCTCTTATTAAGGCTCTACACTTGAATCACCTCAATTATACTAAATTAGGTGATTCTCAATAACATATCGGAGTAATATTATATTCCGTATAACATTACCGGTTATAATATTACTGGTGATTACATATTACATAGATGTATCATATAATATTACCGCTAATGCTAAAATATATTCACACACGCGCGCACACACACACACACACACACACACACACACACATATATATATATATATATATATATATATATATATATATATATATATATGAAATTCCAAATAAAGCCTTGATGGGAGTATTAGGAGTAAACAATAATATGGTTTTGAATGCCTTAGGTTATACCCTAAAATCGCTAAGAAAAAACTAAGGATATGTTTACTTCATTTCTTAGTAAACGGTGTTTAGTAAGCCTTGCCTTAGTAAGCCGTTGTTTAGTAAGCAGTGTTTAGTAAGCCAATGTTTACTTCATACAAAATTCAGGCCCGATTAATCAAAAGTCCGTTTAATTTCATTGGGCTTCAAACATGTCTTATGTATAAAATGTCAAAAATATCCCCCAATCAGATAAATAACCTAGCCGATTACAATTGATGACTATCCCCGGGCATTTCAATCGCTTCTCCAAGCAGAGTGTTGTCTACCTCCAGATTGACGATCAGACATATGCTTTCTTCTTCCATTTTTTCTCTCCAGATTGACCGATCAGGCATATTTTCTTCTTACTCCGCTGCATCTATCTTCTCCATTTCCAGTTTATATATATACTATATGCTATTACGTATATAATTTATAATTAGCAAGTGGTTATAGATAAGATTGAACAAGCTGGTTCTATAGATAATAATACTCCTTATAATACTCTGTAAAAAAATTCCGATATAACCAACAGCCCATACTCTTCTTTTTAAATCCAATAAACTGCTGCACACGTAAGCTATCTTAAATGGCAGCTTTGATATGTATGTGTGTGGCTCGTTGATTATTGGTAATTTTTAGTTAGAGTTAATTAAACCAGAACAACAAAATAATAATTTTCAAGATTCATTTATGTATAGCATACTATTGATTAGTATCAAATATTAGTAATAAATTGTAACCACATGTAATATTGCTCTATGTATTAGAATGGAAGGAACTCAGGGAAGTGGAACATCACAACCTGATTCTGTAATGTGGCGTAATGCATCCAATCCAAAGCATATCTTAAAGAGGAAGTCACAAAATTGGTGGTTCAATGCTCAATCATGTCTTATGAATACCATATTTTGGATGTTTGTTGTATTATTCACAAGGCGTAAGCGAACACAAAGTATTCATTACATAATAGACAATCATTCTAAGAGGCAGGGGTATTTTCAAAGATTAGTACATGGACCCGAAGCAAATTGCATTTCGCAATTGCGAATGAGTCGTGCTGCATTTTTCAAATTGTGTGATATGTTGGTTGTAAGGGGTGGGTTGAGACCCACGAGACATATGATAGTAGAAGAACAAGTAGCTATTTCCCTACTTGTATTATCGCATCATCACAAAAATAGAACATTAATTACTGAATTTCAAAGATCGGGGAGAACGATAAGTAGATGCTTTGCTAGTGTATTACATGCTATACTACAACTTCATCTTGTTTTGTATGCTAAGCCTCAACCAATTACAATGGAATGCAATGATGACCGATGGAGTATATTTCAGGTTCTTATCTTAGTTATTATATTGAATTTATAATATGTAACTAGTCATTGATATATGTTTTTAATACTTACCACTATAATGTTACAGAATTGTGTGGGTGCACTAGATGGCACTTATATTGATGTGCATGTATCACCAAGTGATCATAATCGTTTTCGTTCTCGAAAAGGAATGATTGCTACAAATGTACTTGGTGTGTGCAATCCACAAATGCAATTCATCTATGTGTTTCCTGGGTGGGAGGGATCAGCCGCAGATGGTAGAGTTTTGCGAGATGCCCTCACAAGAAGGTTTCGAGTTCCACAAGGTATAATTGTATGTATATTATAATATATAATACAGTAAACATTCATACTTTTTTTAAATAATGTAAAAAACCAAGAAATTGGGGCCAAATGCCCCCTGGAGAGAAGGAAAACTGAATTGTGAGGATCATAAACATTAATAATGTAAAAAAAAAAAAAATTGGGGCCAAATGTAGTGCTGATTATTAATAAAAAGTACTAACATAAATGTATTAAATTTATCTTCATTGTTATACAGGATGTTACTACTTGGTTGATGGGGGATATGCTAACTGTGAAGGGTTTCTTGCGCCATATAGAGGACAAAGGTATCATTTGTCTGAATGGCAAAACAATTGTCAACCGCATAACGCGCATGAGTATTTTAATATGAAGCATTCACAAGCTAGGAATGTGATCGAACGTGGATTTGGATTACTTAAAAATCGATGGGCCATTTTACGGAGTGGCTCATGGTATTCTATATGTGTGACCTGTAAGATAATAGTGGCATGTGCCCTATTACATAACTTCATTCGACGTGAACATGATATTGATCCAATGGAGGACGATGATATAGAAGAACAGGAAGGTGTTGATGAAGAAGAAGATGCAGAAGTCCACTGGGGAGGAGTTGATTTACGCCCTACTGAAGCATGGACTGCATTTCGAGAAGATTTAGCAACGGAAATGTACACCGCTTGGCAATCATAAATATAATTTCGTCTCTCTGTTTGTTTTCATAAAATGTAATGTGACTGGAACTTACTATGAATGCTTGCTTTTCATTGTAATTCAAAAGTATTTTTAATATTTTTGGTTGTAAAATGTTCTAAATTATTGCTATAATAGAACAATGATGTTTGCAATTTAATATCAACATCCCTTTTGTTTCCTTTTCCGTTAGTGTGGATCATTGTTTTGTGAAATCATGTTTGTATTTCAAGAGCTGCTTGGATAATATGGAATTTAGTCTTACACCAAGAGCACAAATTATCTTCTTGGAAATCAAATAAAGCTATACCAAACTGGCTGATTTTGTTCCTGGATATTATTAGACCATTTGCAACAATTTAGAATGGCAGCTTAATGGGTTCTGGTTGTGCTTATATAAGAGCACAAAACTTTGATCACTTGTTTTGTTAGATAATTTTATTTTGTGACTGAAAGCTTCTCACATGTGGTGATTAACCATACAGTATTATTCACAAAACACACAGCAAAAATGTGGTGATTATTCAACTGTCATCATACACACAGTTGGCCTCCAAACAGATTCTGTCTTGTATAAAGCTAAGTCCTTGATGGGAAAATTACATACATCTAGTGCTTGCATAACAATATTGTCAAACTCAAAAAACAATACCCTTGTTCGAAATCATAACAAAATAATAAAGTGACAATAAACACGCTCAAATGGTAACAGGCGTAATGAACTGCTACTATGGTTCAAATGCAAAATAGAAATTGATAAGTGTATCATAAGGATAGTCACTCTAAGAACATAAATATAAAAAACGCCATGTTTCATCCATCGATGCAATAAATCATGATTCATCTTCTAAATACCACTTGCACCAATCCATCTTTTCCTCATCTGGCAAACCATAGAAGTACAACAACTCACTTTGGTTTTTTCCCATTTTCTTCATGATCTTAAATTTCATAGGTAAAGTCATGCCTTTGAGAGCGCCTAAAGCAATTGGGAGACGTGATGTCTTATCTGCTATATCTGTATCCACCCTTGACATTTCCAATCCCGCCTTTTCAAGTCGAATAGAAGCCGCCTCTACATAAGTTGAGAAACTGTCAATGCTTGAACTACTCTTACCCTTCTTCTTGCCACGACTATTGGAGGTAGAAGAGTTAAGACTACTCTGTGGAGTGTCATTGTCACTTGTTGCAGGTCTCTTTGATGTTTTTTTATTTGCAACACCAGAAACGGAGGAATCATTTACGTCTTGCATGTGTTGTGATTCAAAAGCTGGATCAAATTCACTTTCTTGAACCATGTCTTCACATTCCATCCCAGTTGCTCCAGTAGCGCGGTCCACAGAATAAATAGCACAAAATTGTTCATAGTACCACAAACTTTTTCGTCTTAAAGCTCCAACTTTAGATTTACTCTGAAAGTATAAAATCACATTAATAAAAATATACCAACGCAGATATATATATATATATATATATATATATATATATATATATATCTAGGAAAACTACGCTATACAAAGTACAAACCACATTCCCAAAACTTCAGAAATATCTACTTCGAAGACACAAGAAATTACTTATCACAATGCCAATAAGGTTACTATTTCACGCATCATTTTCTCCCCATCTAAACACCACCCATTTTACTTTATCCTTGCTTCAATTCCACCTAAAACATAACAAACATTGAACTTCAAAGCACAGGAAATTGCAGAAATAATAAATCCATCTCTTTGTGATATTGTTCTGACAAACTAAAAAGAGACTTGTTTTAAGACATAAAAGGTCATTTTAAGTCAGCATCAGTATAATATTGTAACAACCAGACCTAAAATATATCTATATCTATATATATATAATTACCTCAGCAATAGCTTCCCACACTTCATTAGAGGCAGTGATCATTTTGGATATAGGATCCCATCCAAATCCACTTAGTGAGGCAGTGCGGCCATTTAACAAGTCATAATACTCTTGCCAAACTTGTTTCAATGTTCTTATACGAGATTCAATGTGTGGTTTAGCTTCCAAGTGAGAATGAGGCAACTTCTGTGACATCATTTTTGCTAGCTCACTTAAATAACCTGCTTCAAAGCCTCCTTTTTTTCCATTATGTGTGCCATGGGTATGCAATTCGACCATACAATTAACAAGAGTTTGATCTTCTTGGGCAGTCCATTTCCTTCTTGTGCCTTTTGCAACATGTGCCATCTATCAAAAACAAACACAAGAAACAAAATATAAACCAAGAAAGATATCATCTAAAACTTTGAAACTTACACAGATTGTAAATACTATTCACAGAAGCATTTTTTATGGAATAAAAGGACTAAAGTTGGTTTGTTAATTTGCACTTACACTTTGACAAGCATGTTATTGGATTTTTATTACTTGTAAATAGAATTCATTCTCAGATGATTAATTTATTTTTGGATCAGTGTTCTAGCTTGTATAAATAGGTAATCAAAAAAATTCTAAACTTCATTTGTCTAAATAAGGGTTACTGCTAAACAAAACAAAAAACATACTAATATACTCAAATTATTTAACTAATAGCACATGTATAAATAAGGTATACTGTAACGAATTAGTGAATAATTAGAATGCAACAGTGGTAACATAAGTTCTACTTCAATAAATTTGTTAATTATATAACTAATTAACATGGCAGGTGAGAAGGGAATTGCGTTTAACTAAACTCCACTTTACTAGCCTCCATGAAAAATATCAAACACCTTGAAGGCATGTTTCAGTTTAGCTATACAGTTCAGAAAACAATCATACTAGATATCCATTTCCGAAATTGCAGGCATACAACATTTCAGTTTCTAGCTATGCGACCCAAGCGATGGTTTGGACTGGGATTTGTCAAAAACACGTACTGAAATATAGCTTGATGAGAGGATTTTCAGTGGTGAGAATCCCAAAACAAAAGAGTTCAAAATTAATATTAAGAAATCTCTGTCGTTTATATCGACCAGTAAATAGTTTCAACATAGCAAGTTAGGTTTGGTTAGATATTTGTCTAACAAATTTTGAAAGTCTAACCTACAAAATCTGCATAAATTAATGTGCGATATACCTGGGTTGATTGTTGCGACATAATATACTGTTCGAGCTTCACAGGTATTGAAGAATTGAGGGTTTCGAAGTGAGAACGATTGAGAGACTTCAGAGATGTGTTTGTTTTTTCGAAGAGGAGGTCTGGGGAGAGTGAAATGTGTCGTAGGAATGGGAAATGATGGGAGGGGTTAGGGAAGGACACAATTGTAAATAAAAATGTCAGAAGCAATAAAATAAGGGCACACGGGTCATTATTGAAATGCTTAACTCATCGGCTATATAATACATGGGGGGAGCGATCGGTTATTAAGCACCGCTTAAGAGGCGTTGCTGCTTATTAAGCATACTTTTAAGCATCCGAAATTGTTTACTTCAGCCTTCTTAATAAGCTAACGGTTTTCTTAACAGCAAAGTAAACATATCCTAAATATCATAGTTAAAAAAACACCGCTATATCTGAACAAAAACAGACTCGATAATATCTAGCAATAAACATGTGCTCTTCTTTAATGCGTTGCTTCAAGCACAACAGTTTAACAATCCAGGTAGCTTTAAGTTAAATCTAAGCTATCAACAACAGTTTATTGTGTAAAACTCAACAACTCAAACATACTCCGTAGCACACAAGCTGCTTATTAAAGTAACTCTATGCACATAATGCATTACCTTTCAAGTAGTAGTCTCCATGTAAAAAATTGCGATTAACTCGACAACCTAAAACACAAAAAACTAAAAAAAAAAGGAACATTAGGATGTTTTTAATTGAAGTGGTTTCAGTCCCGGACCAGATCAGACATCGAAATTGTAAAATACACAGAATATACATCTGCCAGATAAGACTAGACCAATTCAGACCAATTCAGACCAGATCAGATCCAACCAGATTAGATCAGACCAGAAAATTTTACTCCCATTACATACATCCTTATTAGCATTGGCTTAACTTTAAGAGATTTGATTCAATTCAGCCCATTTATAACATGATGATTAATATGAATTTCAAATACTCGGTACTTTTTTGAGCCAAAAGTTAACACTTTTTTGTTCAAAATTAGAAGGGAAAGGACCAACCTAACAACATAAGTATTATGGCGGATTGAAATGATTACTAAATAAATAATCCTATGTAATTAACCAAAAAAGGTTTCATTGAGAGTTACGATTACAAACAAGAGCTAAACAAAAACTATTTGAATGTACACTATTTATCATTTTTTAAATCAGGCCCTAAGTAACTGCATGGCAGTAAACTTCTTGAACTTATCAGTCTCATCACCAAATTTCTTGTAAAGCATTCACTAATTTATAATTTATTTGATCATGACTAATAGATTAGTTAATAATGTAAGAAGTATAGTATGGCTGGAACTACTTCTGTTTTTGTCTTAAATTTCTTAAGATGACCATTTTAGCCTCTTTGAAATGTTATTTTCTTTATTCTATCAATAAAACCTGTTTATTTTATTACTTCAATAACTTGTTTAATAGTGGCCACACATTTAGTAACTTGACCCAAATTCACCCATACAAAAATGGGTCTTTGTTTCCCTATGGTTGATAAAAATCATAAAATAGATAATTAGCAGAAGTGTTAGAAGGGACAACCGTAAGAAGATTAATGCAAGCACCAGGGTGAACAACATGTGATAAAGCCTAAGCCTGAGCAACTTTGTCTATCTCATTTTATTCCTTCACAACAATTATTGTCTTCTGTATAACAACAATAGAACTTTGGGAACTTTTATCAAGTTTCCCCTTCTTCGGTTCCTGAATTGATGAAACGGTTAGCAACACAAGAGGGGAGGGTGAATTGTGTGTGTGTGGAACCGTGCCAGTTTTTCGCACAGTTCTAGTGTGGGGTTCAGGGAATTGCGAAATAGTAAAGTGCACAAGAATTTAACGAGGAAAAATCCCTTGGCTCAAAGGGATTAAAAAACTTCGACCTCCCTCGAAGGACTTTTAAACAACTTCACTAAAAAGCCTTTTGTGGTTACAAGGTAAATTCTCCTAATCTACCCTTGAGCCACTCTAACTCTATCCTCTCTAGGAAGAGTTATGCATCTCTACCTTGCGGGTAGAGAGCCTCTCAACTTTACAACAAAGCTCTCACACACACGATCCCAACCCGAGGAAGCTACACTTTAGCCTTTCCTCAAAGTCTAGTTACAAGATAAAGAAGGGAAAAGAAACTATATCTACAACTTCGTGAGCAGGTCCAGGTGTCTTGGTCTTGATAATTCTTTATAAGTATTTCTCTCTGTAATTGCTCGGTCAAGCACACCACTTCTTCTCTTAGACTTCGACTATATATAGCCCAGAGGATATCCGTTGATTCTCCTTCCTTTAGAGGCTTTGTAGACTTGACTTGATATTTTTGAATTACTTTCCTTCTAGTAGCTCCTCTTTTATTTGCTCAATCATGAGAAAAATTGATTCATGATTTACGAGCCATCATATAAGGACAATAAGTAGCCACAAATTATTCATGTAATCAAATTAAATCGAGCTACAATGATTTCCATATTCCGTGATCCTTTCAAAAAGATATTCATTTAATATTTCAATCAAGGATGGTTTTACCAAGTATAACATGCTACGGACTACTATAAATATAGCAAGACATTCATTTAGCGCAAGTAATGATTACTTCCATAACGTGCATTAACCATAATGGGGGTCAACTCTCTAAAGTGGGTGCCTAGTCATACATGAGAAATGTGCCACGTGTAAAACAATATAGCTTCGTATAGATGAAACATAGGTGAGCATATATCAATTAAATCACTTAGTATGGGCAAGCACGATAATTATGAACAGAACATGGTACGTTTCAATGGTAGTTCTATCCACAGATCCCACCTGCATGATTAGTTAAGTAATGAGTTATTGTATAGACCCAAGGATAGAGTTTGATCCTGTTTAAGGTCTGTCATCAACAAAACTAAATAATCAACAAATTCCCCCTTTTTGTTGATGACAAACCTTAGGTGCCGAAGGCAGTCCTGCAGATTAGTGTCTAAACAACGAGATCGAAACATAGTAGAGCAGTTTTAAGTGTTGCAGCAAAAAGAAAAGGAAGTAGGCACCTAATTATTTCCCTCTTTTGGCATCAACCAGAAGGAAACGGAAAATAATCAAAATAATGTCAGACAGTAAGTAAGTGTAAGTAAGATATCCCAACCCAAAAGCAGAATATTTGAACAAGTTGTTTATGATAGCGAATTAATCTTCATCGGATGAAGAGACGATCCTTCTATGGAGCCCTTCACTGTCTTCCTCAAACTTGGTCAACACCTCACTTTGAAAAGATTTGAACAGCATGATTGTGATTTTAAATCAATACAAACACGTGGCGGTAATAAATATTTTATTACCTTTATCGATGATAGCACTCGTTATAGCTACGTTTATTTATTAAAACATAAACACGAAGCAATCGATAAATTCATTCTTTATAAGAATGAAGTGGAAAACCAACTTAATCGATGGAGTAAAGCGGTTAGAAGTGATCGAGGTGGTGAGTATGAAGCACCAATTGATGACTTTTGCGCGAACGTGGGTATAGTACATGAACGTACTGCACCCTATTCACCTCAATCAAACGGTGTTGCCGAACAAAAGAATCGCACATTGAAAGATATGATGAATGCGATCTAGTAAGTTCGGGCCTGCCACAAAATATGTGGGGCGAAGCAGTCTTGTGAAGCAATTACCTTTTAAATAAGGTTCCCCGGAAAAAATATGATAAAACTCCCTACGAGTTGTGGAAAGGCAGACGGCCTTCCTATCAATATTTAAAAGTGTGGGGGTGTCTTGCAAAGGTGCTTGTACCAACACCTAAGAAAATAAAAATAGGTCCAAAAACGGTGGATTGTATTTTTATTGGGTATGCACAAAATAGTAGTGTTTATCGGTTTTTAGTGTACGATTTGAATAATCCGGATGTACATAAAAACACAATAATTGAATCAAGGAATGCATCATTCTTTGAAGACGTATTTCCATGCAAGTCCAACGAAGGACCAAGCACGTCAAAACGAACATTTGACGTAGCTATGAAAAATACTAGTGAGGGCTCCGGAGAAGAACCCGAACCCAGACGTAGCAAACGTGCTAGAGTTGAAAAATCCTTCGGACCGGATTTTCTCACCTACTTGCTAGAATTTGACTCGGATATTCTAACATGTATGGTAGAAAATGAACCGGATTTTCTAACATGTTTGGTAGAAAATGAACCACGGACTTATACGAAAGCCGTGACGTCTACCGAAGGTCCTATGTGGAAAGAAGCCATCAAAAGTGTGGTGGATTCTATCCTTAAAAATCACACATGGGAATTGGTTGATCTTCCTCCGGGAAATAAACCTTTGGGATCCAAGTGGATTTTTAAACGGAAAATGAAATCTCACAGTTCCATCGATAAGTACAAGGCCAGACTTGTAATCAAGGGATACAAGCAACGTGAAGGCCATGATTACTTTGACACGTATTCTCCTGTGATGAGAATAAATTCCATTAGGATGATACTAGCAATTGACGCATTGCGGAAATTGGAAGTTCATCAAATGGACGTAAAAACCGCTTTTCTAAATGGCGATATAGATGAAGAAATCTATATGGAACAGTCCAAAGGCTTTCGTGTTCCTGGCCAAGAAAGGAAAGTGTGTAAATTAATTAAATCATTGTACGGATTGAAACAAGCCCCTAAACAGTGGCACGAAAAGTTCGATCATGCAATGTTAATTAATGGTTTTAAAATAAACGAAAGTGACAAATGCGTCTATGTGAAAAGCACAGTAGACGGCTATGTCATTTTATGTTTATACGTGGATGATATACTCATCGTGGGTAGCAATAATCTAATGATTAATTCTACCAAAAGCATGTTAAATTCTAAATTTGACATGAAGGATATGGGGCTGGCCGATTTAATCCTTGAGATTAAAATAATTAGAGGACCTGACGGTCTTACGTTAAGCCAATCCCATTACGTTAATAAAATCCTTACGAAATTTAATAAGGATGATTATCAAGAGGCAAGGACTCCATTAGATAAAAACGTACAACTTATCAAAAATCGTGGAGAGTGTATTTCTCAAGTAGAATACGCTAGGATTATTGAAAGCTTGATGTATCTAATGAGTTGTACCAGACCCGATATTGCCTTTGTGATTAGCAAGCTAAGTAGATATACTAGCAACCCCGATGATGAACACTGGAAGGCAATAGTAAGGGTTTTGAGGTATTTACGTAAAACCCAAAATCTTGGACTGCACTATGGAAGATATCCAGTTGTACTTGAAGGGTATAGCGACGCTAGTTGGATATCAGACATAAAGGACTCTAAGTCCACAAGTGGATATGTTTTTACTCTGGGAGGTGCAGCCGTGTAATGGAAATCCTCAAAACAAACGTTAATAGCTAGATCCACGATGGAGTCTGAGCTAATAGCCTTGGATAAGTGCACTGAAGAGGCTGAATGGCTACGCCATTTTCTCGAGGATATTCCAAGTTGGGAAAAACCTGCCCCTCCGATATGCATACATTGCGCTTGTCAAGCGGCAATTGGAAGGGTACAGAGCAACATGTACAATGGTAAGTCTAGACACGTTCGTCGTAGACATAACACCATTAAACAACTCCTCACAACGGGTGTTATCACTGTTGACTACGTGAAGTCAAAGGATAACATAGCGGATCTGCTAACATAACACCATGTACCTCGTTGTAGTATACATGTCTGCATTTATTTAATTGTAAGGTGTGTTGACTGTTGGCAAACTTATATTTAATAGTTTAGTTTCTCTCTACTTCTGTGGCACTAAGCGTAGTTTAGAGGTTAAAGGCTCGGGCTTGGTAAGGGTGTGTAAGCGTTCTATACTCGTCGAATAAGAATTATAATCACTTTACGTAATTACTTGTTTGTTCCATAGTATTGCCATTATTCCACTAAATAATCATATCAACGTGAAACATTAATTGTCGAAACTCAAGAGATCGTATTGGACTCTCGGAGTACGAACGTATTAACCTCACCATTGGCGCTGTCAGTGGAAAACTACACTGGAATTTCCGATCAACCTCTTCGTGTTAGGCAGCACGCTTGAAAATCAAACCCTAAAAAACTATTACCTCCGTCCCAAAAAGATTGATACATTTTGACTTTTATTGGTCAATGGTGATAAAGTTTAGACAGTGATTTTAGGTATTATATTTGTTTGTAATATATAAATTCTATACTTTTATGTAAGATTTTTAATAAAGAATATGTTCATATAATTTTCTTATTTTAAATAATTTTGTATTAAAAGATATCATTGGTCAAACTTAACCATCATTAACCAAGAAAAGTTAAAATGTATCAATCTTTTTTGGGACAAAGGGAGTACTAAACTAATGACACGACAAGACTCACACCATATGGAAAATCTATTTGACCGACTTCGTGCAAGCAGATGAACCTGGACATTAGATGAACCGTCAGGTAGCGAGGATGTTTTTACTTGGACTGTAATTCGTCCCAGACCAGACCAGACCAGATCAGATCAGTTCAGACCAAACCAGACCAGACTTGGATAGTTATAAAAATACAAAGAAACCAGACCAGATCAGACCAGACCAGACCAATTCAGACCAGACCAGATCAGACCAGATCAGACCAGACCAGCAAATTACAGTCCAAGTAAAAACATCCCGAATGATTAACTCAGGACAGGGGAGAGCTCAGAGATAATAATTATTTACGAGCAAAGTGTCCATTAAGTACATCAATTCCTTGGGTCAATTACTAAAAAGCAAACAGAATTGGGTCAATTCTAAACAGAATTGGGTCAATTCTGGTCAATACCTCAATTATTTACTCTTCCCTTGGAATTGTTGTTTAAAGTTATGGGCTTCGGCTGATAAGTATTGACCCAATTTTGTTTGCTTTTCGGCCCAACTAATTTTCCAGTGCATATTCAAATGTGCAGAGAATGAATGATGAATAGCTGCCGAAGCTTTGTCTTTTGGAGCAATAAAATGATTTGCGCCAGAGCTATTGTAGCCGGCCCATATTACTTATCTCAGCGATCACACTCTCCTACTGCCGCCGCCGCCTTACGCCGCCGCTTCTCTGCCGCAACCATCAGAATGTCTTCGGGACCGATCGTTGAGCACGTGGTGCTCTTCAAGGTTAAGCCGGACGTGGAGCCTTCCAGGGTCAACGAGATGGTAGTCAACCTTAAAGGCCTTACATCTCTGCCGCAGGTGCTCCACCTCACCGCCGGTCCTGTGCTCCGCAACCGATCCGCCTCCTTCGCCTTCACACACATGCTCCATTCTCGGTACGCCTCCAAGTCCGACCTCGCCGACTACTCCGCCCACCCCGATCACTTGGCCGTCGTCAAGGTGAATGTGCTTCCTGTCTGCGATGACATCATGGCCGTCGACTGGATCTGCGATGACCTCGCCGGCCCGGTCAAGGTACCTCCCGGTTCAGCCCAGAGAGTCACATTTTTGAAATTGAAGGAGAATTTGGGGGAAAATGAGAAAAGCGAAATACTGTCTGTGACAAAAGGAATTAAGGAGAAAATTTCGTCGATTGATCAGATGAGCGTTGGGGAAAATTTCTCTCCGGCGAGGGCGAAGGGATTCTCGATTGCTTCAGTTGCTGTGTTTGGTGGGGTGAGAGAATTGGAGGCGTTGGAGTCGCAATCGGCGGCGGAAAATGAGGAGAAGGATAAGGTTAGGGGGTTTCTGGACGGCGTACTAGTGGTGGATTATGCCGTCCCGGGTTTGCGGTAGGTGCCTAGGTGACTGGTCTCTATGGGCAGAACCGTCATTTCTTGTATCCCGTCTTCTTCTCATTACCGATTGTTTGTGATGTTATGAGTTTCTCCAATGAAGAATAAAGTTTAAGGTGTTTGCTCGTTTCAAGAATGAAATATGTTGACACATACTCCCTCCGTCTCAATTTGTTTTGCAAAATTTCCAATTTTGGTTGTCCCAAAATGATTTTCCACTTTCTATTTTAGGTATGTAAATAAAAATAAAGTGACAAATTTACCTTTACTTTTACTTTTTTCTCATTAACTTAAAGACATCTACTTTTAGGAAGATTGACAAAAGTGTAAAAAGAAAGCATCATTTATTGCAATTCCTTAATTCTTGTGTCGGTCAAAGTTTGCAATTAAATTCGGGACGGAGAGAGTATGACTTAACATGTTTTTACTTAGGATTTTTTTCGGTTTGAGACCAGACCAGATTAGATTAAACAGATTAAACCAGACCATACCAACTTAAACAGATTAGACCAAATCAAACTTGACTTCCGTAGTTATAAAATACGCAGAGACCAGACGTTTACCAGATCAGACCAGTTTAAATCAGACCAGATCAGATCGGATTTAGACAGACCAGTCCAACAAATTACGGTTCAAGTAAAAACATTTGTAGGCTTAATTGAAATTTCACATTGTTAGGCTTAATCTAATGTTCTGAAAAAAGATAAAATATCGACACGCTTAACTCATCAACTGTTTTTTATTTATAAAGAAAGAAAGAAGAAAATTTGAAGATATTCTTCTTGGTGTACACTTTTTGGTGTACACTTTTTTACTTGGATTAGAATATTCTAGTCTGGTATGGTCTAATCTGGTCTCAACGGGTATGCTCTGATAAACATGTGGTTTCTGTGTATTTTATAACTGTCCAAGTCTGGTATGATATGGGACTGAAAAATGCTCAAGTAAAAACATCATAAATCATCCCTGTTGGTAATTAAATCAATTTTAAAAATTAAATTTACACATTCGAAATTGAGCGGTGTTTGGTGTACACTTTTTTGTAATACACATTTCACACACTTGTCTCTCAGCTCTCAGAGAGTTGTCTGTATGACTGTATACAAACAACCGTTTGTAATAGACAAGTGTCCCAAACATTTTTCTTAGAAGTTTACATTTTAGAATATAACAAAAAGTTGGTTTTGGAACTCAATTTGGAAAGGGATGAGTAAGAAAATAATAGAGCAAAGGATATATTGTTGTTATCACTACGTAATATGAGTAATGATCACCTCAAGTAGTTTTGACAGAAACCACAAATTGAACTTGCTTATTTGAGGGTCTTCCAGGTGGAATTTTTTATGAAAGTTTGTGAAGATTTTCTTCATGATGTGTAGGTCATGTACTCAAAATTTTAATTTCAAATTCAATCGGGAGTCAGTTAAATAAATTATTGTAAACATTGTGGCATAATGTATATAAAAATGCATTGTTTTTCAATAATATGTCTAATTGACTTCCCGATTTAATTTGAACCTGAAATTTTGTGGACATAATCTACAATTCATGAAGAATATGCTCCCAAAATTTCATCAAAAAAATCCACCAGAAAGCACCTGAAATAGACAAGTTAGGATGTTTTTACTTGGATTAGAATTTTCTAGTCTGGTATGATCCGGCCTGGTCTGGTTTTGTCTGAACAGGTATGGTCTTGTAACTGTCTTATCTCTGTGTATTTTATAACTTTCCAGGTCTGGTGTGGTTGGTCTGGTGACTCTGGTCTAGTCTTGTCTGGTTGGTCTGGTCTTGTCTGATATGGCCTGTTCTGCTCTGGTCTGATCTGGTTTGACCTGATCTGGTATGGTCTGAGACTAAAAACCGTCCAAGTAAAAATATCCTTAGGATGGTGGTTCACATCATAATTACCATCATAATTACCTGAGATGATCTTTTCTAAACTAGGTGTTATTATTAAGTGTTTAGTGCACTAAATCTCCTCGCTAACCAACTTTTGTGCACAATACTAAACAACAACTTAGCCATTTAGAGATCATGAGTTTGATGATATTCTTAATTGAGCTCATTTGATTCTCCCTAATCTAGATCAAATTAGATTGAGAAAACGGTCCAACTCAACTAGTCACTGACTCACTGTCTCATTCGGGAAGTCTCGAGTTCAAAACTCCATAGCGAGAATTTTTAGCCTTGTTTACACCAGACTCCCCCAGCCTCACTCCCCTTGAACCCCCAGGGTAAAAAAAACAGATCAAATTAGACTTCATAAGATCACATTATGTACTAGATCAAATTACACTTGAACAATTCTATAATACACATAAAAACATAAACAAATCACATTAGCCCAGACTACAAAGTTTTAATGTAATAAAAAACATACTTAATGTCATGCCTAACTAGTAACTATACGCGCGAGTAAATTGTCAAAATCTCCATATAATACTTACTCCATTTCACTATTTGTTTTATTCAAGTTTTTATGTACACGATTAGTTATAACATACGGAGTACCAGAATTTCAAGAACTTGTCACTTTTTAAAATCGCATGACGTAATACATAAAAGAGTTGACCAAATTACCAAATAAAGAAAAAGAGGGTCGTTTACGGTTTACCTATTTGGAAAAAAAAAACTTCGGAAACACATTGGTAAAAAAAAATAAAGTTTTGGTGATAAATTGATCAATTTTTTGTAAGCCGGACAATTTTTGTTCTTCACTTTAGAATTCTCGGCATTAGGTCTTCTAAGTATTTTAAAAACTATCAATGTAACTACGTTGTAGTATGTAAAAAATTCTACTCCATAAAATCACTATGAATATTTTTAGTATTTTTCCAGTATGAATATTTTTGTTTTTTTATATTGAGTAGTAATTTTTAAAAAACTAACAAAATAGTCATATTTAAAAATTAATACTAAAAATGAATGAATTTATATGTAGGTGCTTGTGTAAATGTACAAGTGTGTAAATGTATAAGTGTTGAAAATAATTAAAATACTTCCAAATTTGAAGGGGTGTAGTGAGATAAACATCTCAAGCTTTCATATGCAATTTAAATACCTCAAACTTTATATAAAAATTTATTTTAACAACATGATCATGTATTATTATTTTCAACAATGTAAAGTTATGATCTTAATTGCATAGTTTAAAATTGCAAATTGAAACCGTTGAAATTATATAGAGTGGGGGGAGGTGTAATACTATTTGATTTACAATGAATGTTTAGAATGTTAATAGGATCTTCATGGATGCTGATGGAACTAAATCCACCGAAAAATAATTAATAGATAGTCGAAAATAATTAAAGCACTCTGAATAATACTTAGAGAGATAATTGTATGTATTGTATTCAATGTATTCAGCTTGATTAAATTCCTAAAGGTTAAATGATTTTATAGTAGAAAATAAGACATAAAAGATTTGGGCGACGTGGTCGCCATGTTCGAATTGATATGCAAATGAATAATCCGGATCCGCGGAATCCTTTGTTGATTGTGTGAATATCTTGAAAAGACGTCGTTGATGTAGTTTGTCGTACGGAGTCGTCATGTAGCTTTTGCCATGATGCCCAGAAACACCATGTATAGATTATTTGGATAAGCTTCTACTACTATGTCAAGGATCGCCAATTCGCCATGGACATTTCTATATATAAGTACGCATGGCAATGGATCGGGGCGGGGCGGGTACTGCAAGACCCAGACCCGCCCCGTGACTTGGCGGGGCGGGTCCGCCCCGCCCCGTGACCTGCACGGGTCCAAACTTTTTGACCCATGACCCGTCCCATGTGGGGCGGGTCCACCCCACCCCACCCCGCCGTAACTTAATTAGCTAGTATGTATTTTTATTTGTGGCAAGTTGTTACCAATTGAATCTACTTAAAGTTTATCTCTAAATAATAATTAAAAATTAATATATTAAATCAAATACATGATACCCTGAAAATTTCAAAAATTAAGGAAAAATTACTCAGACTTGAATAGTTAATGTATTAAATCATACTAATAATTGAACATATGTATTAAAATACTATATATAAAGAAGACATTGATAGTCCGTCGTTCATCTCATTCTAATATATGTATTAATATAGTATAAGATCAAAGAACTTATGATTTACTGTATACATACATATGTATGTTGAAGTATATTTGTAGTATAATTTAAGAAAAAAATGTGTATGTTTAAGTATTGACCGGGTTGGGTCAGGGCGGCACGGGTCAATACAAATACCTGGACCCGCCCCATTGTATAGGCGGGGCGGGGCGGACCCGCCCCATTTGGAAGATGGGCCGGGCCAGACCCGCCCCAAATGTCTCGGGCCAGGGCGGGTCGGTTTTTTTTGACAACCCTATATATAAGCTAGCCATGGCATCCAAGGTTATAGCGCACTCTGGTCTTCTACTTGCGTCCATGGTTGCTGTGGACGTGCTCTTTGGATAAGCTAACCATGACATCCACGGTTACTCCGTACTCCCTGATCTTCTACTAACTTCCGTCCACAGTCACCATGTACAATCTTTTATCCTCTAACTCGCGTGTGGTCACCACGTATGAGCTCCTCTTATACCTTATCATCATTCGTACATAGTTACCGTGCACATCAACTTTCAACCTGTTTTCATCCATGTTAACCTGATCAACATTTATCCATGGTTAAGATAATTATACCATCACAAGCCCCCCACTCCTTAAGCCAAATAGCATATTGGCTATAAGGAGTACAGAGACACAGTTGTCGTGGCTATAGAGGTACATGGTCACCATGTCACATTTCATTTTTTGTTTTTACCCATTCAATCATTTAGACTTCTCTTTTATAACTGTGGTGTGCTCCATGACTTAAAATTAAATTCACCCAACCTTCCAGATAGAATTGCAGACCACGACCAGTTCCTTCGCCCTACTCCAGGTCGCAGCTCGTCGTCAACCACCGGTCGGTCAACGACGCCCGCCGCCACCGGCATCCAATCACGCGACCAGGTTACCCACGGTGGAAGTTGTCGCCCGCCATCGTACTCCCTCAACCCCAGACGGTTGCCGCGAGCGAACAGAACATCTCACCCTCACCAGTGTCATCCTTGTAGCGCCGAACGTCAGACTCGCCCTCGCCGGACATCGGCGCCTTCCGGCGATGACCAGCACTGTTCGCCGCCTCCGTCTAGCACTCGCGCCATCGCCCCTTGCTCTAGCTGTCCATCCCGATTCGGCCGTCGTCATCGTCTTGCTCTGGATCTTGCACCGCCGCTGCTAGGTCACGCAATACGCAGGTAAGCACTGGTCTCCCCTTTGTCTTCTTTCCATTTATTTTGATTTGATTTGATTCTTCTTTCCCCAAATAAGTAAAGGAATATCAC